TTTTACATCAGCCTGTTTTCAGGGCCTTTTTTTTGGCTACATATTTGTTATTTTTTGCTACATGCCTCCCCATCTTCTTGCCATATGTTTCTATGGCATAAATCAGTGTCTGTGACCTGTTTTCATTTTAAAAAAGAACATTGGCACAAACCTAGCCTGTATGTATTTTTTGTATGTCATCGAGAGTATTTAAATGATTTTCAATCAGAAAAAAAATGTTTGATTAAAATGCGATTAATCGCAAGTTAACTTAGGCATTGATGCGATTCATCGCGATTTAAAAAATTTAATCGCGATTAATCGCGAGTTAACTTAGGCATTAATGCGATTAATCGCGTTTAAAAAAATTTAATCGCGATTAATCGCGAGTTAACTTAGGCATTGATGCGATTAATCGCGATTAAAAAAATTTAATTGCGATCAATCGCGAGTTAACTTAGGCATTGATGCGATTAAAAAAAAATTTAATCGATTGACAGCACTAGTAAATACACTTAATTTAAGAAATTTTTACTTATTTCTAGATTGTTTTTCCAGTGTGGGACACTTTGTCAATTGAACATGACAATTTACTTATATCAAGTGCATATTATCTTTAACAGTAAAAATTCTCATTCCATTGGCAAATCATCTTATTTACCTGCTCTGTAGGGTAAATACACTTGATTTAAGAAATGTTGACTTATTTCTAGCTGTTTTTTGCAGTGCGCCTCCTCCGTGCCTCAGAGCTGAGGTAAATCCCCCCCTCAGCTCCTCTCTCATAAGTCCCAGTGACCCTTTAACACCACACTATCCTAAATCCCTGCCAGGCGTCTCTACCTTCCTCTCAGAGCGGCCGTGACTCACCTGTTGATCTCCTGTTGTTTCATAAAGGATAAAAATGTGATGTTGCTCTTGAATGTGTTATTTTAGCCATATTTGATGACTGGCTCTTTTCCTCCTTCCCAAACCCCCCCAAAACAAAGCTACCATTGAAGCAGCTAAAGCAAAAGGTACGCAGTGTGACTCAAATTCCTTGTCTGTGTTTGTGTTTGTGATTTTCTTGCCCTTTAAAGAGAGAAAAATCCCCAATATGCTGACTTTTATTCCTTGTTTGTATCTTCACTGTTGTGCATCTACTGACCATCATCTGGCTGATGGAGGATTTTATATTTAGATCACAGCTTCTTGCACTGATGTCTGTAAAATCTACTTTTTAGAGATGCACCAATCAGGCTTTTCCCGGCTGAGATGGTTTCTACTTTTCTTTATGGTTTGATGCATAGATCCATAGAGAGCAGAGCCGCCTCAGCCACTCACCGTCATCTGTTTGGAATCACCTCCTTTCAGGCTTTTAGCTGAGAATATTTCACAGGGTGCACACCTTGCTGTAGCACATCTTTAGGTTTTGCATGGCGTAAATGTTCAAATTTTCCAGAAACAATATTATGTTTCATAGATTCATTCAACCAATCAGAAAGT